AGACTCCGTCTCTACAAAAAATTAAAAAATTAGCCGGGCATGGTGGCTCGCACCTGTAGTCCCAGCTACTTTGAGGCCTGAGGCAGGAGAATGGCATGAACCCAGGAGGTGGAGGTTGCAGTGAGCCGAGATCACACCACCGCACTCCAGCCCGGGTGACAGAGTGAGACCCTGCTCAAAAAAATAAATAAAAATAAAAAGGAGGCCGTTCTTCTCCAAGGGTCTTTTCCCTTTCCCTCTGCCCAATTCTCAAATGCGTTTATTGTTTTCTTGCCTTTCACAGAGTGCCCCATTTCTATCCCACCCCACGATCTTTTTTATCATCCTTCTTACCCAAAGCAAAACGTAAGCAGAAAGAATGACAAAACTGCCAAGGCTCCTGAAGGGAAGAGGCTCCTGGAGGAAACCCGGGTGAGGAAGGGGGTTTGAGAGGTGCCGAGAGAAACAGGCAGGGCGCCTCTGCCCCGTCATCGCAGAAACAGAGGCGAAAAACAAGGAGGGACAGCAGAGGTTTCTTCACAGCAGACACTGTACTGACGTAAAATGTGTGAATATTCTCCTTTACAGTCTAGCCTGTAGATGCGTAATAAAAAGACTCGAGTCCGACTACGTCTGAGAATCCTTGGCACTCTCCGGATCTGTTCCGTTAGGAATGATACTGACCAGGCCGTCTGGCTTTTTCTTCCACCTTCAGTTCCCATTCACTGCTGCTGCCCTCTCTCACCCCCTCTCGTCTCCCAAGCACCAAAAATAATTGGAATTTCAAGCCTTTTTTTGGCCTTCCTGTGGATGTGGGAGGACCTCCTTTGGGAATTGTTCTGGTTCTAGTCAGCTCCATCTGTAATTTGGCAAAATGCGCCCTACCCCCACCTTTTCTTCTTAATATAAGCAGAGTTCGGATCCCCACCTCAAAATATGTGGTTCTCAAGGATAACCAAAGTGGTAAGATCCCCCCCAGGGACCCTCCCAGGCAGCCCCTGAGGGTCTGAAGCCTCCACTCACCCCGCCCCTGGTTTCAGAAAAACAGCTCTCTCTGAAGAAACAAAGCAGCTCCTCCCTAGCCAGCAACAGCTTTAAAGGGCAAGGTGATTGCATGGAGGAGGCAGGAGAGATCTGTGCTCTTCAGTTCAGAGGAGCCAAGGCAAGTTCCTGTTTCAAAGACAGTTTTAACAACTGATCAAGTTCAGTGAGTTCTCTCTCGCGCCGCACCCCCCACCCCCGTGTGTGTGTGTGTGTGTGTGTGTGTGTGTGTGTGTGTGTATTTTCCTTCTCATCAACTCACCTGTCGCTTCTCACCAACTCACCTGTCCCTTCTATGGTCCTCTGGGGAATAGGTGACTTTCCTTTCTGAAAAAGCCTGTCGCCCAGGCTGGCCTCAAATTCCTGGGCTCAAGCCATCCTCCCTCCTGGGCTTCCCAAAGCAGTGTGATTACAGGTGTGAGCCACCTTGTCTGTCTATTGAAATGCATCTTTATTAAAAGTCAAAATATAACCAGGATCTCTAGATCTAACCAGTCCCCCTGACACCTGCCCCCCACCCATTTCTGCTCCGTCTTAGCCCTTCCTTAGCTAGCATCTCTAGACTCTGGTAAATATTTGTTATCGACAAGAAAAAGGAAAGGGAAAAAAATGAGAACAAGAAAAAAAGACTGCACACCTAAGAGTGTTCTATGGTTTGGGACAGTTTCATTTTTCTTTATTTTGTTTTTAAGGTCTTAAAGGTTTCTCTTTGAAAAGACAAATATCACAGAACATACAGAACTGCTCTGAAAATGCAACTTCACTCAATCATCATTGGTCATTAGAGGAATACAAATCAAAACCATGTTGAGATACCATCTCACGCCCGTTAGAATGGCGATCATTAAAAACTCTAGAGACAACAGACGCTGGAGAGGATGTGGAGAAATAGGAACGCTTTTACACTGTTGGTGGGAGTGTCAATTAGTTCAACCATTGTGGAAGACAGTGTGGTGATTCCTCAATGACCTAAAAATAGAAATCCCATTTGACCCAGCAATCCCATTACTGGGTATATACCCAAAGAAGTATAAATCATTCTATTATAAAGACCCATGCACTCGTATGTTTATTGCAGCACTTTTTACAATAGCAAAGACCTAGAATCAACCCAACTGCCCATCGACAATAGACTGGGTAAAGAAAATGTGGCACATATACACCATGGAATACTATACGTATTTTAAAAAATGTGTTCATGTCCTTTGCAGGACATGGATGAAGCAGGAAACCATCACTCTCAGCAAACTGACACAAGGATAAAAAAACAAAACACCGAATACTCTCATTCATAAGTGGGTGTTTAACAATGAGAACACATGGACACAGGGAGGGGAACACCACACACCAGGGCCTGTCGGGGGGTGGGGGGCTAGGGGAGGGATAGCATTAGGAGAAATACCTAATGTAGATGACAGGGTGATGTATGCAGCCAACCACCGTGGCATGTGTAAACCTGTATAACAAACCTGCATGTTCTGCACATGTGCCCCAGAACTTAAAGTACAATTTAAAAAAAGTAATAAGAGAAAAAAGAAAATGCAACTTCATTTGTAAAACACTGCATCAAAATATTACATGGTCATGTAATCTAATGAACTGAACATGTATTCATGAAATTTAAAAAATACTGAGCAATGCATTGAAAAAAGCATGGTAAAAAAAGACAACTCATATAGTTAAATAAGAATTACAAGGGTCCTGAACCAATCAATGGTTGGTAACAATGTCATTCAGAAATGCCTTTAGGGACTATTTATTTCTGCATGCCTAGTTCACGAAGAAACCGTTTGAACTTGTGAGGTAGATAATGCTGAATTAATTTTACACCTCAGAGATACAAGTTCACCGTACTTAAAGCTCTTGTTAGGCCAGGCGCCGTGGCTCACTTCCAGCACTTTGGGAAGCTGAGGTGGGTGGATCACCTAAGGTCAGGAGTTGTAGACCAGTCTGGCCAACATGATGAAACCCCGTCTCTATTAAAAACACAAAAAATTAGCCAGGCATGGTGGCGGGCACCTGTAATCCCAACTACCTGGAGGCTGAGGCAGGATAATCACTTGAACCTGGGGTGGGGGGCGGTGGGCAGGGAAGGAAGTTGCAATGAGCCAAAATCACACCATTGCACTCCAGCCTGGGCAATAAGAGTGAAACTCCATTTCAAAAAAGAAAACATAAAAAGCTCTTGTTGATGCTGGAATTAGTTACTCCACGGTAAAAGACAACAGTCAACTAATAAGAATAGCGTGACATAGGATATGTAACAATTTCACCATGCATATACTCACTTTCTGTTTCCTGGTTTTATATATATATATATATATATTTAATATATTTTTAAATTAAATTAAATTTTTATTTTTGAGATGGAGTCTCGCTTTACGCTTTAGTAAGCCCATTTATTTTAAAATTTAATGTAAATCTAGAATATTTTAACTTTTTATACAAACAACTTTAAAAATAGCCACTTGGTATTTTACACACAAAACATTTAAAAGAAAATCCCTAATTTAGAGTGACTTAAGCTTCACATTCCAGCCGACAGTGGCAGGGAGGAAGACAGCTGTGGGCAGCAGAGGCCTTGGGTGGTCAGCGCTGACCCCAGTCCCTCAGCCCACCCTCTCCAGCACAGGGAATATCTTTAGGCTTATTTTTCTTCTGCAAATAAAATGTCTACTAAAACATGTTTCTCTCTCTTTTTTTTTTTTTTCCAAGATAGGGTCTCACATTGTTGCCCAGGCTGTAGTGCAGTGGCACAATCACAGCTCACTGCAGCCTCAACCTCCTTGGGCTCAGGTGACCCTCCCACTTCTGCCTGGGACTACAGGCATGTGCTACCACATGAGTATCTGGGTATCTGGGACTACAGGCATGTGCTACCACGCCCGGCTAATTTTTATATTTTTTGTAGAGACAGGGGTCTCACTATATTGCCCAGGCTGGCCTCAAACTCCTGGGCTCAAGTCATCTGCCCACTTTGGCCTCCCAAAGTTCTAGGATTACAAGTGTAAGCCACCACACCGAGCCTAAAACTTGTTTCCAAGGGTTGGAAACCTCTTTAGGGCTATTCTTTCAAGGCAAAGGATTTGGTTCTGCTTAAAACTTGAGGAGTGGGGAATCCATGTTCTCCTTGTCAGCCTTGGGGCTCAGCTGGATCAGAGGGGAGCTCAGGTCTATGAGCTGTCACACCACCGGTGAAGGTTTTGCCACATTTTTATTCATGTCTGGGGTGTTTATCATGAGGTCGATCAGAGGCCTGCTTTCAGATTTCATAGGCACATTTGCTTCTGGGGTATTGCAGAAGTCGATGAGAGACAGGTCAACACGGGGCTGGCCTGCAGCATCTGTGGTGACCATGAGTGGGTCCAGTTTGATATCTACAAGAAGAGCCTCAGTAGGGGCTGCGTCTCCACCGGGCCTGGCTTCCTCCTGAACCGCTTCTGTGCTGGTGCTTTTGGAAACAGTAGAATCGCTTTCTTCCGGAGAAAAGTGAAGTGCCTGAGGCACACGGGAAGGAGGAGAACCCCCATCAGGAGACATGCCCACCGGCCTGGAATCTGCCTTTCCGTTGCTCTCCCTTGTGGGTTCAGTTCTCATTGAAGAGTTCTTGCGGGGCTCAGAGTGAAGTCTCCGAGCTGGCACACACAGGGGCGAGGCCACAGCCCGGGGCATAGTTTTGGGGGTCATCGGTAGAAGACCAGAGAAGCGCCGGCTGGTGGCTGTGGGCAAGGCTGACGTACGCCGTGTGCTCAACAGGCTTTGTGGTGCTGGCGCACGTGAGCATCTAACGGGGGTGGTGTGGACAGTGACCCTGCCAGCTGACGAGCATGACTGTGGCCGCTGTGTCCGAGAGAGCTTTGGTGTGGCCCTGTCTGGGGAGTCACCTAGAGAAAACTTAGGAATTTTAAATTGATTTGCAGGAGTAGGCATAACCTTTGTCTTGGAATTTAGATAGGAATCTCGCCATCTTATACTTCTGGATCAAGTTGCTATTCACGAAGCTATGGAACAGCAGACCATATCCATCACTAAAGCAGGAGTGAAGGCTACTCTTAACGCCTGGACGTCCATTTTGGCAGCAGCAAACCCAATCAGTGGACACTATGACCGATCAAAATAATTGAAACAGAATATAAATTTGTCAGCTCCCATCATGTCCCGATTTGATCTCTTCTTTATCCTTGTGGATGAATGTAATGAAGTTACAGATTATGCCATTGCCAGGCGCATAGTAGATTTGCATTCAAGAACTGAGGAATCAATCGATCGTGTATATTCCCTTGATGGTATCAGAAGGTATCTTCTCTTTGCAAGACAGTTTAAACCCAAGATTTCCAAAGAGTCAGAGGACTTCATTGTGGAACAGTATAAACGTCTCCGCTAAAGGGATGGTTCTGGAGTGACCAAGTCTTCGTGGAGGATTACAGTGCGACAGCTTGAGAGCATGATTCGTCTCTCTGAAGCCATGGCTCGGATGCACTGCTGTGATGAGGTCCAACCTAAACATGTGAAGGAAGCTTTCCGGTTACTAAATAAATCAATCATCCGTGTTGAAACACCTGATGTCAATCTAGATCAAGAGGAAGAGGTCCAGATGGAGGTGGATGAGGGTGCTGGTGGCATTAATGGTCTTGCTGACAGCCCTGCCCCTGTCAGCGGAATCAACGGCTACAGCGAAGACATAAATCAAGAGTCTGCTCCCAAAGCCTCCTTAACGCTGGTCTTCTCTGAGTACTGCCGAATCTCTAACCTTATTGTGCTTCACCTCAGAAAGATGGAAGAAGAAGATGAGTCAGCATTAAAGAGGAGCGAGCTTGTTAACTGGTACTTGAAGGAAATCGAATCAGAAATAGACTCTGAAGAACTTATAAATAAGAAAAGAATCATAGAGAAAGTCATTCATCGACTCACACATTATGATCATGTTCTAATTGAGCTCACCCAGGCTGGATTGAAAGGCTCCACAGAGGGAAGTGAGAGCTATGAAGAAGATCCCTACTTGGTAGTTAACCCTAATTACTTGCTGGAAGATTGAGATAGTGAAAGTAACTGATCAGAGCTGAGGAACTGTCGCACACCACCTCCTGGCTGGAGCTCTGGTAGGGACAGAAACGCTTCTGGAAGTGATGCTTCAAGATTTGTTTTCAGAAACAAGAACTGACCTGATGGTCCTGTGTGCCACATTTGTCACAAGCTTTTATACCAACATAGGCTTCAGCACTTCCTTTGGTGTGTTTCCTGTCCCAGTGAAGTTGGAACCAAATAATGTGTGGTCTCTATAAACAATACCTTTGTTTTGTTTTCATAGAAAAAGGCCCATTACTCTTAGGGTATGTGCTGTCTTACCAAGCAAATAGTTTTTTTGATTGCCAGCTACTGCTTTTATTCATCAAAATACAATAATTTGTTCTAAAAAAAAAAAAAAAAAAAAAAAAAAGGCGTTGCCCTCGAAGAGGTGCGGGCGGCTGGCGTCGTGTCCTGCGTCCATGAGGCAAGCTCGGAGGATCCCTGTAGACCTGTGGCACGGGAGGAGCCGGTGGAAAACCCTGAGGAGCTTGTGGCAGCCGCGGTTAAGAGATGGGGTCTTACTATGTTGCCCAGGCTGGAGTGCAGTGGCTATTCACGGGCGCGATCCCACTACTGATCAGCACGGGAGTTTTGACCTGCTCCGTTTCTGACCTGGGCCGGTTCACCCCTCCTTAGTCAACTTGGTGGTCCCTCACTCCCGGGAGGTCACCATATTGATGCTGAACTTAGTGCGGACACCCGATCGCCATAGCGCTCTACAGCCCAGAACTCCTGGACTCCAGAGATCCTCCAGCCTCAGCCTGGGACTACAGGCACGCGCCATCATGCCCATGGAAGCCAACAGAAGAGGGGTCCATTTGTACAATTAGGGCTGGAGTGATCCATGTTCCCATAGCAGTCCCTTTAACCTCACTTAAATGTGGAGGCTGCATAGATCACGAGTCTGAATACTACAAGCTACCTTTGCTTAAAAGGAACCACACCAGCAGTGATAGCTAACTGCTAGATTGCTCTCCAGCATGTCAGAGTTAACTTGAATTGCTTGAGTTGTGCTTCAGTTAATGTAGAGAATGTCACTGAATAACACATAACCGTTGAAGTAAAAAAAAAAAAAAAAAAAGGGTGGAGTGCAGTGGCATGATCATGGCTCATTACAACCTCCACCTCCTGGGTTCAGATGATTCTCCTGCCTCAGCCTCTTGAGTAGCTAGGATTATAGGTGCACGCCACCACACCTGGCTAATTTTTGCATTTTTAGTAGAAACGAGGTTTCATCATGTTGGCCAGGCTGGTCTCAAACTCCTGACCTCGTGATCCGCCCACCTCGGCCTCCAAAAGTGCTGGGATTATAGGCATGAGCCACCTGCACCCAGCCTATATTTTGGTTTGAAATAAAGATGTATTTCAACAGCCAGGCAAGGTGGCTCATACTTGTAATCCCACTGCTTTGGGCAGCTCAGGAGGGAGGATCACTTGAGCCCAGGAGTCTGAGGCCAGCCTGGGCAATGTAGCAAAACTCTCACACTACAAAAAAGTTTTAAAAATTAGTCATGCATGATTCCACACCTGCAGTCCCAGCTACTTGGGAGGCTGAGGCACGAAAATTGCTTGACCCAGAAGGCAGAGGTTGCAGTGAACCTGGGAGGTGGAAGTGGAGGTTGCCTCTGGAGTAGCTGGGACTACAGGCGCCCACCACCACCCCCAGCTAACTTTTGTATTTTTAGTAGAGATGGGGATTCACCCTGTTGGCCAGGATTGTCTCGATCTCTTGACCTCAGGTGCTCTGCCCGCCTCAGCCTCCCAAAGAGCTAGGATTACAGGAGTGAGCCACCACACCTGACCAGTAAGGTGTATTTCAAACAACCATAGGTCAAAGTCTTTAATGGAGAAAGGAGAATAATAATAATAATAACAATCTTCTAAAACAATACTGCAATGGGCTTTTTTTTCCACCTAGTTTTCTTCCCCTGACCACAGGTTTTATAAAGCATAGTCAAAATCATGTACGTGTGATTGAAGGGACATTGGGCTGCAGGGAGTTGCAGGCCTTCCCCGAGCCTCCTGGGGATGGCTTGCTCCCAGGCTGACTAAATGGGCACCCATCACGTGTATATACGGGTGTATGTGCGTATGTGTATAACATGTATCTTGCAGCCAGTCATGGTGGCTCACGCCTATAATCTCAGCTCTTTGGGAAGCCCAGTGGATCATTTGAGTTCAGGAGTTTTAGACCAGCCTGGCCAACGTGATGAAACCCCACCTCTACTAAAAATACAAAAATTAGCTGGGTGTGGTCGTGGGCACCTGTAGTCCCAGCTACTTGAGAGGCTGAGGCAGGAGAATGGCTTGAACCCGGGAGGTGGAGGTGGCAGTGAGCAGAGATTACATCACTGCGCTCCAGCCTGGGCAACAGAGCAAGACTCTGTCTCAAAAAGTAATAATAAAATAAAACAAAATGTATCTTGCTTTTTAAAAAATAACCCAGATGACAAGATATAATTTTTGAAAATTATTTTTATTATTATGGTACATCATAGTTGTACATATTTATGGAGTACATATTATGATTTTTATTTTAGAGCTGGGGTCTCACTATGTTGTCCAGGCTGGTTTCAAACTCCTGGACTCAATCGATTCTCTCCCCTCAGCCTCCCAAGTAGATGGGATGGCAAGTGAGAGGCACAGTGCCTGGCACCTTTTTTTTGGCTAAGCATTGTCTTGTAAGCAATATTTTCCATCCAGCCTCAGCATTTGGATGACTATACGATACTCTTTTCCCAATTGTTGAACATTTAGGCCATTTCTAATTGTTCTCTATGTTACATATATAAATTATTTTAAAAATAATTGTCTATTAGTTTGCTAAGGCCACTATAACAAAGTACAACAGACTTAGGTGGCTTAGGCAACAGAAAGTTTTTTTCTCACTGTCTGCAGGCTGGAAGTCCAAGATCAGGGTGTGAGCAGGGCTGGTTTCTGCCCAGGCCCCTCTTCTGGGCTTGCCATTAGCCACCTTCTCCCTGTGTCCGCACCGTCTCTCCTCTGTATTTGGGCATCCCTGGTGTTTCTTTGTGTGTTCAAACTTCCTCTTCTTCTTCTTTTTTTTTTTTTTAATAAAGACAGGGTTTTACCATGTTGGTCAGTCTGGTCTTGAACTCCCGACTCAGGTGATCCGCCCGCCTTGGCCTCCAAAGGACTTGGATTATAGGCGCGAACCACCGCGCCCGGCCTCCTCTTACTTAAACACTGCTCAGACTGATTTAGGGCCCATTTTAATAAATTATTTTTAACTTAATCACATCTAAAGGCCCTATTTCCAAATACAGTCACATTTTGAGGTACTGGGTTTAGGGTGTTAACAAGTGAATTTGGGGTTGGGGGAGGCATAATTCAGTCCCATAACACATTCTGTTTAAATTTTTCTCACTTGCATTTCAGATCATTTTCTTTGGATAGATTTCCAGAGTGGGAATCGTTCGGTCAAATGATAAAAGTATTTTAAGACTTGAAAACTGCTTTTCCAAGGAATATAACAATTGGTACCACAGCAGCCTGCTTAAATTAAAAATAATAATAATAAGTGAGTGGGCTGAGTGCAGTGGCTCACACCTGTAATCCCAGCACTTTGGGAGGCCCAGGGGGGTGGATTACTTGAGGTAAGGAGTTCAAGACCAGCCTGACCATCGTGATGAAACCCCCGTCTCTACTAAAAGTACAAAATTTAGCTGGGCGTGGTGGTGGCAGGCACCTGTAGTCCCAGCTACTCTAGAGGCTGAGGCAGGAGAATTGCTTGAACAGAGGAGGTGAAGGTTGCAGTAAGCTGAGATTGTGCCACAGCACTCCAGGCTGGTGACAGAGCGAGACTCTGTCTGAGAAAAGAAAAGAAATACACCTTACTGGCGGGGGTGGTGACTCATGCCTATAATTCCAGCACTCTGGGAGGTTCAGGTGGGCAGATCATGAGATCAGGAGATGGAGACCTCTTGGCTAACATGGTGAAACCCTGTCTCTACTAAAAATACAGAAAATTAGCCAGGCATGGTGGCACATACCTGCAGTCCCAGCTACTTGGGAGGCTGAGGCAGGAGAATCACTTGAACCCAGGAAGCGGAGGCTGCAGTGAGCTGAGATTGTGCCACTGCACTCCAGCCTGGGTAACAGAGTGAGACTCTATCTTAAAAAAAAAAAGAGAAAGAAAGAAATACACCTTATTTAAATAAGCAGGTAAAATAAAGAACTCTATTTTAGCGGAGCTGTATGAATATAAGAGAGTAGACTTCTGAAAGGAAACAGTATTGTTTGGACTGAGGAGGTGGTTCTTGGTCTCAAGTGCACCAACTATATTGATAAAATTCTTGTTACATATCCACATGTTCAGTGCACCAGGTTAAAAGCTGTTCTGCCTGTCATACCTTCTTTTTTTTTGAAAACAGGGTCTTACTCTGTTGTCCAGGCTGGAGTGCAGTGGTACAATCACAGCTCACTGCAGCCTCCACCTCCCAGGCTCATTCAATCCTCCCACTCAGTCTCTGGAGAAGCTTGGACCACATGTGTATACCATCATGCATGGCTAATTTAAAAAATATATATATTTGTAGAGATGAGGTCTCACTACATTGCCCAGGATGGTCTCAAACTTAGAGACTCAAGTAATTCTCCTGCCTTAGCCTCCCAAAGTGCTGGGATTACAGGTATGACTCACTGTGCCTGGCCTACACATCATTCTTTGATTGGCCCCAGGTTGACTGAAACCCTTTGTCCTTTTCTCAGAGAGGACAGGCAAGGGCAGGTGTCTCTTACCTGGCCTTCTACACGCTATTCTCTGAGCTCTGCCATGATGGGTACCCATCGAGTCAGCCTGGGAGCAAGCCATTCCCAGGAGGCCTGAGGAAGCCTGCACGTCCCTGCAGCCCAGTGTCCCTTGTATCCATAGGAGAGATGTGTTCTCAGAAAGAAACCACACTCATGTCTCCTCCCCTTTGCAGCCATACCCGCTTTGTTTTTTTTTTTTCGAGACAGAGTCTTGCTCTTGTCACCCAGGCTGGAGTGCAATGGCACGATCTCGGTTCCCTGTAACCTCTACTTCCCGAGTTCAAGCGATTCTCCTGCCTCAGCCTCCCAAGTAGCTGGGATTACAGGTGCCCGCCACCATGTCCAGCTATTTTTTGTATTTTCAGTAGAGACAGGGTTTCACCATGTTGGCCAGGCTGGTCTTGAACTCCTGACCTTGTGACTGTCCACCTCAGCCTCCCAAAGTGCTGGGATGACAAGCGTGAGCCACTG